AGACTCTGAAGTTTTAGAACCATAATTAATTTGATAGAACAGAATAATGTACTGACTTTTTCCATCTTCTCAAGTAATTGCCTGTGTCACTATATCTTTGAAATGTGATATTTAGATTTTCTACACTAACAATACACTGACTGACAAATGAAATGATTCCTTTTGACAAAGTATATTTTAGCTATTAGAGGAGAAAGAAAACAATATATCACTAATAAATTATAATATTAAATAACTTTATTTTTTATTATCATAATGTGAGTTGACATACTTTGAAATATTTTGTGTGCTGAACACAAAATAAAATGACTCACAGTATACATTTGTCACCTTATGATAGATTCTGTGGTCTTTACTAGAAAAACATGGTCATGAATGCCATAAAAGCTTTTCTTTTTTACTTTTTGGTTTCTTTTTGGTCCTGAAAGTATATTCTATAAATACTTCTGATATTGGCTTTTCTAAGAATTGAGTATAGCATAGCAAAGTATGGTAGGGCATAACCGTAGTCTCACTACTCAAAAGGCTGAGCCAAGAGGACTATCATGGCCGGGCGGTGGTGGCACACGCCTTTAATCCCATCACTTGGGAGGCAGAGGCAGGCAGATTTCTGAGTTCGAGGCCAACCTGGTCTACAGAGTGAGTTCCAGGACAGCCAGGATTAAACAGAGAAACCTTGTCTTGAAAAGCTGAAGGGAAAAAAAAAAAAAAAATAAGAGGACTATCATGAGTTCAAAACCCAGCTGGGCTCCATAGTGAGTTCTAGGCCAACCTAAATATAAGGCTGCTGTGTTCATGCCGAAGTCTCGGAGAATAGACTTCAAAATACTTAGAAATTATAGGTATAGGTTCTGTTATGTTTACAAAGGAGCCTGATAGGACTGTTTTCCTTGCTTTAAAATGACTAAAACATAAGTTTAAGAAAGCTGGATTTGGAGCCAAGTATGGTGGTGCATACCTTTAATTCCAGCTTTCAGGAGGTGGAAGCAGGTAGGTCTGTGATCAGAGGCCAGCCGTATCTATATAGCAAGGTCCAGAACAAACAGGTTAGACAGACCTTCTCTAGGGGAGAAAAGAATGCTGAATTTACCCAGGAGTCACTAGTGAGCTACTTGTATATGCAAATTGAGTTGCTCTGTTCCTTTCAACCATTCTTCAGGAAGCTTTGAAGATATAAAATACCGCATTTTTAATAGTATTCACTAATGTTTGAAATAAGTTTTGCTTGAGGCAGAACAGTGAATAAATAATCTTGGATATCAATTTTGACTATAGTTTTGAACATTTTGGTTCTGGTTTCCTTGTTCCTCCATATCCTAGATTTCCCTAGATGCTCAGTTTCTAAAGGGCATCTATATAGTACAATTGTGCAACAAATAGCAAATGTTTTCAATAGCAGTGTGTGCGCTCCATAAGAACTCCCTTCCATGAACAGCCTCTTTCCTGAAGAACTTCACCCACGAGGTGTCCTAAAGGTGGCATGGAGTGCTGCTGGTGCAGCATGGTGTAAGATAGTGTAAGGGACTGGGATCTCTGGTGTGTACTTTTCTTCCAGTGCATCTCGTTAGCTCTTCAGCGAGTTTCTTCATGCTTTCTTTAAAAACATCAAAAGTTGTCTAAGGTCTATTTCAGTGTATGTGGCAGTGCTTTGTGTGTGGCTCTTTGATCGTGCTCTGAACTGATATTAACCACTAAGGTGACCCCTCTCCCAGGTCAGGCCTTTTGTCAGTCAGTGTAGTCAAACCCTAATTACAGATTAGTCTGAACTTGGGACTTGAAGTATCCAAGGACTCAGAACCCACTGAGGAGCAGTGCTGCTTCATGCGAGGATAAAGAGACCTGAACTGTGTCATCATCTGTCCGCCTGTCATTCACTGAGGCTGCCAGTTTATGAGTTGGTGGATTATAGGAATATTCATGATCCAATCAAGACGCACAATGAATTGATGTTTGAGATGGCTCATCTTTTAAGTAAATGTTGCATAAATGGAATTGAGATTCTTTATTCACTACATGCAGATCTGTATAACAGAATAGTTTAAGCCCTTCTTGAGTTGGTTTAATTTATCAAAAAGGCCACAGATGTTATAAGAATTCTCTAGTTGTCATTATTTAATCCAGACATTTAAGAGAAATGGTAGTTTGCTTTACAAGTAGGTATGCTGATTTGTATTCCTCTCTGCATTTTACCAGAATTTCACATGAAAGGTAATAATACTCCAAGAGACTTGCTCTTCATGTGGCATGTGGCAGCAGACCTCGTGTGTGTTTCTAAATCAGAGGAGGGGGAACAGGGCTCGTCCTTAGTGCTGATGCAGTCAGGATTGCAGGTCAAGTTTGAAATTACTTCAAAAAAGTAGACATTTCCTCAGTCAGAAGTGAGACTAAGCAAGGAATAGTGCCTTTTTTTTCCCCCTGTTCTGTGTAACAGGTCTGGTTGTCCTATAATTTGATTTGTAGACCAGGCTGTCCTCAAACTCACAAAGATCTGCCTGCCTCTGGCTCTCCAATGCTAGTATTAAAGGTATGCACCACCATGCCTGGTTAAAGAATGCTTCTTAAAGGTAGACTCTCTTGGGGCTGGAGGAAAAGGCTCAGCAGAGAAGCCACAGAGCATCTCACAAGTGCACTTAGCTGCACAGAACCACACAACACATGTACACATTGTTAAGATGAATCTTCTCTAAAAGAGGAAAGGGGTAGAATTTCTTCCCTGTCCCATAAGATTCCATCTAGTTCATTGTACAGGTGAAAAGACAAATGGATTTCTGTAGGTTGAAGTTGGTGATGCTGATGATTGCTTTTCTGTGTAACAGCCCATTCTCCCATCACTTGACACTAGTCCCCATCACTGCTAGTAACTTTTGCCCTTGGTGGCAAGGCACCACCATGTCCTGATATTGCAATTGTAAACATTTTTCATAAAACCATAACTTTTTAAGGGAAACGTAGAGTTTTCTGTATCTTTGTATTAAATAGTCATTTAATGTTCATTTAGGGGAAAAAAATGTTGCTTATCTCTTAGTTTTCTAAAAATTGGATTTTCCTTTAGATCTACAGAATTAGAAGCCTGCCCTGGTAGGGTTTTGGCATCTTTTCACACAAATAGCTTTTCCTCTCCCCTGTCTCCTGTGAGTGACACTACTACGCCACACACCTACAGACAGTCTGCCCCTCTCGGGCCATTATTGATAGGCCAAAAGTTGGCAAACTGACCCTGTGGCTGCCCAGTTGCAGTCAGATCATGTGCAAAATAAAATTGAATTTTCTTTCTGCATATGGTGTGACATTCCCAAATAGGCGACACTAGGGAGTGGTTAGGTGTTGCTAAGGCTGGAAACACCTCAGTGGGATTTCCCTCCTGTGTGCTATTCAAGTTAGATGGGTTTTGGTGAAGTTTTTAATGTTTGTTTAAGTGTATGTGGTCGTTTCCTCCAGAACTGCTGTGAGATAATTTGAAAAGCTCTTTTACCCTTTTAAAGAATGGTTTAGCTGATGAAGTGGATGTGTATGAAACTCTGAAAAATACATCACTAAGACTGGCTTCATTTGGGAAAGTCAGAAATGTTTGCTAGTTTGACTGCTAATTAAGAAATGGAAGCTAGGTGGGTGGTGATAGTGCATGCTTTTAATTCTTGCACTCAGACAGGGGCAGGCAGATCCTGGTCTACAAAGCAAGTTCCAGGGCAGCCAGGGGTACGCAGAGAGACCTTTTCTCAAACATAAAGAATAAAAAAACCTAGAAAATTTGAGGAGGAGGAAAGAAAACAAAAGAAAAAAAATGGAAGCTAGCCTACCAGAATAATGTACATTATGTAGATTGAAGTCTAAGGGCCTACAAGATGGCTCAGTGGGTATTGTAGTTTGCTTCTGTGCTGAAGTGCTAAACACCGAGTGAAAACAACTTGGAGAAGAAAAGTTTATTTTTTGTACACTTCCAGGTCACAATCAGCACTGAGACTCAAGGCAGGAGCTTGAAGTAGAAACCGTAGAGGAATGGAATGTTACTCACTGGCTTGCTGTCTCACTGGCTCGTGCTCAGCTGCCTTTCTTTATATAGCCCAGGCCTACCTACCTACCTAAGGATGGTGCCACGCACAGTAGGGTGGACCCTCCCACATCAGTCATCAATCAAGAAATCTCCCACCAACCAGTCTGATCAAGGCAATTCTTTAGTTGAGATTGCCTTTTCTCAAGTGACCCTAGGTTGTGTCACGTTGACAACCAAAATTAACCATCACAACTCTGTCCTTGTCAGCTTGATATCCAGTCACACACTCTATAGGGTAGTATTGCCTGCTGTTCCTGGATAACTTCACCTATTACTTTATATTTTAAAGCATCATTTTCCACACTAGGGATGGTTACTATTCTCCTGGCTTTGATCTTTCACTGTGGTCCTTGAGACAGAAGAGTCTGGCAGTGTAGCTCATGTTCAGCTCATAGTCAGCCTCCCAATGCTGGGTTACAGACGTGAGCCACCATTTTCTTTTAATTCCTAAAAATAGCCTTATTATTTCTTTGGTAGAGCTTCAAGGAATCTACAAATATACCTGTTGTAGGTATCCACAGTTTTTTTGTTTGTTTGTTTTTTGTTTTGTTTTGTTTTTCGAGACAGGGTTTCTCTGTGTAGCCCTGGCTGTCCTGGAACTCACTCGGTAGACCAGGCTAGCCTCGAACTCAGAAATCCGCCTGCCTCTGCCTCCCAAGTGCTGGGATTAAAGGCGTGCACCACCACCGCCCGGCCACAGTTTTATTTAATAATTTCCCAAAGGGGTCTGTCAAGCATTTCTCCCCTCCCCTTCTAAAAAGGGCCTGCTTGCTGCTCTTCTGATCCACTTGGACATGGACCATAAGAGGTTTAATGAAAGTGATTTTCCTCCCCTTTCCTCAGCAGTTAAAATTTTATAGACAATTTAATAATAAGGAATTGTCTCTAATAATTTCTGATGCCTTTGAAAAGTAAATGTGTTTGTATTTATCTCTTTTTATCTCCATAGAGAAAGTTAGAGAAATTCAAGAAAAACTTGATGCTTTCATTGAAGCTCTTCACCAGGAGAAGTAGACTGTATCAAGTGAGTAACTCTGAAACTGGGCACACTATGTGCAAAGCATGGTCCTAAAACCTTTCCTTATAGTTGATGGTCTGGATGACTGCATTGCATTTGCTTCTCTACTATGTGATCCTTGTGACTCTCCACACCAGCCTCCTGAATGTTGGGCCACACATTTAAACCCTTTGATTGCCTTCTGGCTAAAAACTAAAAATCATCCTCCAGAACTCAAGTCAGACAGAAGCAGGGTTAGTAAAGATATTTTATAGTGATGATTTTCTAACGTGCAGGTGACTTGTATTCTGCATTGAAAATGGATCAGAGCTTGTCTTTATCTTAGCTCATGCTCACAATAGGTAATTGTGTGTGTTAAATATTCAACTTACAAAGCTGCTGTATCTGGCTTGACTAATATTTAACAATTAGTAATTGTTCTTAATCTACTTCTTTTGTTTACAAAATTTAAGTAGGCCTTTTTCCTATTTAAAGTCATTTAAATAGCATTAAAATGTGTTATTCGTAATATAGCTAATTATTAATTATCACTAAGGAATGTCTATCAGTAAGTCACTGGCTTGCCAGGTGGTGGTGGCGCATGCATGCTTTTAATCCCAGCACTTGGGAGGCAGAAGCAGGTGGATTTCTGAGTTCGAGGCCAGCCTGGTCTACAGAGTGAGTTCCAGGACAGCCAGGGGCTATACAGAGAAACCCTGTCTCAAAAAACAAACAAAAAAAAAGTCACTGGCTTTTATTGAAGCTGAGATAAGAATTCTGTTTTAAGCTATTATCACTTATTTAAATCTTTTATCACTGAAGAACTCTGGTGAGTGGATAGTTCCCTGTCTCGTGTCCAATTCCTCCCAGGATAGAAAGCCTATAGAAATGGGCATTTTGCCTCTCTACCACAAGGGAAGTGTGCTTGGGAAGGAGTTAGGAAGCCTTAGAGGAGATGCTAAGGAGCTCACTAAACTGGTAAAGTGCTTGGCATGGAAGCAGGAGCATGTGAGTTCAGTCCCCAGCACTCACAGGAAAGGCCTGGCTTGTGATCCCAGTATGTAGAGGTGGAGGAAGTAGGATCCCTGGACTTTTCTGGCCAGCCAATGTAGCCTAAGGTACTCTTGGGGAGCACTGGGTCTCATGACATTTTGTTTACAGAAATAACATTAAATGAAGAAATCTATAAAACCCTGTTAAAAATAAAAGCTATAGACTAGTGGGCTAACGCAGTGGTTAGGACTGCATGTCGTCTTGGAGAGGACACATCAGGCAGCAGCACACTCCTTACCCCTTCCTATAACTCCAGCTCCCAGGGGTGCAGCACCCTCTTCTGCAGACACTGCACTCATGTGCATACACATAATGTTCAAAAATCAGACAGAGAGAGAGATACAAATATATTTAAGCTAAATGAGGAGGTCTGAAGCCAGCTGGCATCTTACATAATAGTTTGAAATCTCTAATGTAACCTAATCAGTGTAGTGTCTAGAGTTGTTTCCCTGCCTGGACAGACCTTTGTTTGTTTGTTTGTTTGTTTGTCTGTTTGTTTTCTTCCAAAGGCAATCTTGAGGTGTAGACTGTGGTGATATTTGGAAGTAGGAAAGCCCTGAGCAAAGGAACTAATTTTCCTAATCTGAAGTCCCTAAGGCCTTTCTCTCCCCCTTTGCTTCTGTGCCTTAGAGACTTTTACAGCGTATCTAAATTTAACAGTTGGTCTACTTCCTACCCCAAATATCCATTAGTAGAGTGAATCTGGAGAGGGCAACCTTGCTTTAGTCTGACCATTTTGTAAAAGTTACCTCGGATCGGAAAGAAGAGCTTCCTGTTTGTAATTATAGCACATGTAGAGCCTCCGATGAGCTGTTTGGCTTTTCTATGCAATCGTTCTAATGCCTTAAGAAAGAAGTCTAGACCGTGTGTGTGTGTGTGTGTGTGTGTGTGTGTGTGTGTGTTACACTCCGGAGCAGAGACGGGCGCTGCTTCTCTGTGCGCTCTAGGACAGCCAGGGCTACATAGAGAAGCCCTGTCTCAAAGAGAGAAAAAAGGAGACGAAAAAGAAAGAAATGAATTCTGGGACTGGCAAGATGGGTCTGCAGGTTAAGGAGCTTCCTACCAAACCTGACAGGCTTGAGTTCAATCCCCAAGACCCACAGAATGGAAGCAGAGAACGGACGGACTCCTGCTATCTGCCCTCTGGCCTTCACAGCCACACTATTGCACAGGTGTACACAACACACATACACACAGAAATGATGGGAAAAAAAGAAATTCCAGTATATGTTTATTTAGATAATATCTTTGATAAAATTGTGCTATTATTTTATAGCTGATATAATTTTAATAAATCTAGCAGATTTGAACAGTTAAGCTTTAATTTTACAATTCTGCTGTAATAAAGTTGCTTAAGTCTATCCATTTGTCTTGTCAAATCTAAATTTATCAAATGGGTTTGTTCCTACAGAATCCTGCTCATAATGTAATCACCTCAGCATACATTTGAAGAACGAAGACGTCAGTCTTTTGTCCTGCCTCCTTTTCTCCTGTTCTACCCTTTTCAGTGCAAAATAAAGTCACAGGGTAAAATTAATGTACGTGTGTTACAGGCACTTAACCCGAAGCTGCCTTTTGAGCAGAAGAACACTGGAAACAGCATCATGTTCTGTGTGCTTGTGCTGATAGCAAACATTGGGAAAATATAGTTGTCGTGGCCATGAGGCTTAGTCCTCAAAGATAAGGAAGTTGCTCTCTCAAGTCTTATTTGTGGTGGCACAGATGTGATTTATTATGGGTATTATCAGACATATATTGGTAGCTGCTTTGGAATAAAACTTAGGGTACTTTTTTAAAAGGCATCACTTGTATATGATGAGACAGTGGTTACTGCTAAGCCATCATGTCTACAGTGTTCTGTATCCAGGAACACTTTGGCTGTAATGATTCAGTTTATGTTCACATGAAAGAAAGCTGGTTTATAAAGGAATGCTTCGGATGGGTTAATTTGTGTTGGACAGTTCAGTGTATATTCAGTGAAAGAAACATCCACCCTCCATTGCCAGCTTAGAAACTCGCCTTGGAAGCCAACTGCAGCAGCGTACAGTCGATTGCTGCTTTTGCACTCTGTATCCGTTTGCAATTAGTTCATTTTGAATATTGTGTGCTCTTGGTCAGGCTTTCTGGAACAGTAGGTCTCTCCTGTTGACACAGCCATTGAATTATGACCCAAGATGGAGAAGACTAAAGGTCAGCAGTTGACGAATTTCATTTAGAGTGCTATCAAATGTCTGAACTAGGCATCAAACACTGTTTTAAATAAAAATTATTCTAACAAGTGGAAGAATGTTGACCAACCCCTTCTTAAGGCTGAAAATTCTGTTTAACTCATTGCACTTCAGTTATAGTAATAACCTTCATAATATTTTCATGTGCTTTATATAAAATGATATTGGTTTAAAAACCTTAAAGCAAACAATTACTCCATATTTACTTCAAATGTCTTTTTCATCTGCTACCTTTTTATTAAGGCTTTTTATTAAGGTTCTGGTAAAGATGCCCAGGGTTGCAGTTCTTATTTTACAGTTAATTTTATAACCAGTTTCCTTGGAATTGTTTTTGTTTATGGTTCCCTCAAAATCTGACAGTGTGGAAGGGGCAGGTTTTAGAAACCATGAATTCAGTAAGTACTCTATTTAAATTATCAGTAAGCTTAGGTACAATTCTCAGAGGTACGAGCAGTGCCCATGATTCCCTAGGATGAGTACTCAAGTTGTAGGTGTGGGACAGTGGTGAACAGAAGCTCTGGAGAGCCCTGCTCTGAGTCACACAACCATTAGGAGGTGCTCGCCCTAAGCCAGTGGTTCTCAACCTGTGGGCCAAGAGCCCTTTGGGGGCTGCCTATCAGATATTTACATTATGATTCATAACAGGAGCAGAATTACAGTTATGAAAGTAGCAACAAAATAATGTCATGGATGGAGGTCATCACCACATGAGGAACTGTATCAAAGGGTCACAGCATTAGGAAGGTTGAGAACCACTGCCCTAAGCCCTGCTAGCCTGACTGTCGGGAGGTCCTGGCTGAGACCAGCAGGAGAAATCTGCAGGTTTCTCCCAAGTGAAAGTCTTATGTTGGGTGGGCTCAAATCTCTTTATATTTATTTTAAGTGAAAGAGAACTCTGGTTTCTTTAAGAGGATCAGAATTTATAACTCCAATTTAAAAGTAGATTACCAAAATCCCCTGTCATTCTTCACCCTCTGTGGGTTATTTGTAACCTGATTTTATGCTAACTATGTACCCCACCCCCTGAAAACTAGGTGTTTATGAAATGCAGAAGTTATGGGCAGGATAAAGTTGAGTCCCAACAGTAGACCCTGTGTATCATAATGTAGTTCAGGTGCTCAGCATACACAAGTTAAACTCTGACTGGACAAGAAACCATTTGCAAAGAATGGAGAACTAAGGGATTTTAAGTACATCATCAGCAAAATGACTTGGTCAGACTGTCAGTTATGAATCCCCAGTCTGTACAGCATGGACCACAGGAAACAAGCTTGCCACTTCAGCCACACAGCAGGCAAGCTGCAGTTAGTTACAGGTGCAGCAGTCTGTGCCTTCCTCTTAGTCTCTCCTCCTCACCGTCCCGTCTTCTAGGCTATAGTCAATGGACTCCAGAGATTACTCAGTGACCAAATGGAAAGGGACGGTGTAGAAGCCAGGGACTTGCTAACTGTACAAGTGTGGAATGTCACATGCAGGATTCTGGTGGCAGAAGCAGGACAATCACAAGTAAAAGGCAAGCCCAAGCTACACAGGGACACCCTGTCTCAAAAACAAAAATAATAAAATTAAGAGTGTAGGCTCAGAAGGCAAATTTCTTATCTAGTTAATTTTGTATTTATTTATTTCAGATGTATTTATCTGATAAAAGAAACGTTTGTTTGGGTTTTTTGTTTTTTGTTTTTTGTTTTTTTGCTTTCCAATAACTGAGATCACGATACTGGTGTATCTCCATCCTCTACACTAGTGTATGGTAGACTGTCTTACACTGTAGCAATGGAAATGTGCTTGAAAATATGCTTACCTTCTAAACGATCATGGCTATTTGATATCTAAATATTTAAAACTTAACCATGTCTTCACTGTGCACTGTGAATGGACTTTGTATTATTTTTAAACCTTACACTCGATGTAAATGTTACTATAACTTATATTTGCCTGTGCTTGATCTAAGGTCATTTGTGTAGATGGGTAATTAAAGGATACTGAAGTGATATTATAATTCTATTATTGGAGAGTATCTTTTACATTTTATTTGTTTTAATGAGGGAGAGAGAAGCCTTTGAACTGAAGGTCATGATTTGGCTCCATAATATGGCCAAATCCATGATTTAATAAGCTTTCAAAGTAGCTTCTCTCAGAAGGCTTGGATTTCACAGTTGTAATCCATGTTCAGTTGATGCTTTTTTTCCTGTGTTGATATTTCTCAAAATACTTTGATATTTTCTTCAGTAAAATATAAAAAAGAACACAGTTTTCTAGCTACACTGTGCTCTTGCTCTGTTCATGATGCTGAGATGTTCAGTCTCACACAATACCTGCTAAAGGGCGTTAACTAGCAGGCTGGGTGTAAACTGTAAAGATCACTTTTGTCCATCCTGATTCAAAGCTCCTATTCCCACTTTTTATTGCTGACACACTTTGTTCCTAAGTGATGCTTCTAAAGTAACTCGCTGGTGGTTAGCTGTGCAGACTATGGTGTGTTGAGCGCTCCTGCAGCCTTCATGTGCCTGGCCGAAGTCAACACCGGGAGAAGGTTCAACCCTGATTGTTGTGGGACGTCCTCGGGGTAGCTGCAGAAAGATACACGTCTGGTGATGAGTGTAAGAGCCTTTGTTGTAGCTCAAGTGCTCATCCTTTCTGTGATTCAAGTTCCACATCTTTAGCCAAGTAGCCAAGATGAAGAGTGCAGTTACTAAAAAGTCACCAGAACAGTTTTTTTTTTTTTAGCATATTCAGTTAAGGAATCAACATAGTTACAATATGCTAAGGGTAACACAAGTGGGTTTAATTATGCTTTAAAACAGTTGCATACTCAGCTTGTGATCAGCATGTTGATCACAAGTTCTACACTAATTTGACTATACTGAGTAGACATTTACAGGAAACTGGAAGGTTAAGGCAAGAACTACAAAATTGTAGAGGCTAAAAAAAATAACATTATAAAGACTGTTTAACTAGATGATCTTTAGCCTGAGAAACACACCTCCTCCCAAACTTACTGGTAAGAAAAACCTTCCTTATAAGTCATTATATTAAATTGCTGTCCTAAAATGACAGAATTGAGTTACCTACCACCTTAAAGTGGAAATGTGACCAGGTGTGTTGATACTTGCTGTAATCCCAGCACTCAGGAAGCTATATAGGCAGACCCTGTCTCAAAAAAAAAAAAAAAAAAAAAAAAAACACAATCCAAAGCCAATCAGAGCTACATGGCAGCCTGTCTGAAAAGAATCCAAAGGAATGGTGGGCTGTACATGGCTCCCCCTGAAAAGACTTCAGTGAATGATTACTGCTCTGGAAACCCGGTGTTCTGGGTCTTTTGGAATCAAGTCACTGATGAGGAGGTAACTATTCTTTAGTATGTTTAAATCAGCTCTTCCAGACCTCCTTGTGGTAAAAAAAAAGTGTTGCTGCTATTTTTATTGGTAATACAAGCTAAGACAGATGTAACAGATTCCTGTGCAAGTATATGAGATTGAAGACTTGGAAAGAGAGACCAGAGACCCCGCTAAAGACCCAGTCACCAAGTCGTATTGCTGGCAGCAGCCTCCCAGGGACAGGTCCCCTGCTCACACCTCCGGGGACAGGTCCCCTGCACACCCTCTGGGACAGGTCCCCTGCTCACACCTCCGGGACACAGTTCTGCTGCTCACTACTGGTGATGCGTCTGCTGCTTACTCCGTCGTACACTGAGTCAGCAGCAGCCTGGAAGTCATGATTTTATCCTGCTGCACTTACCAAATGCTCTTGAGACCTTCAAAGGTCTTGTGAAGGGATTTTATAAGGATGAGTTAACTCTATCTTCCTGCTGTCCATCTGGGCTACTCGCCCCTTCATCTCCAGTGGTATGGCCTGGCTTTCATGTGCAGGTACATGGTACATCTGCTAACCATTTCGAACTCTTCTAGGCCCACCCCTACCCTAACCCACTTCCACCTCTTTCCCTTTTTTTCCTCCCTCTTTCTCCTCTTCCTTCTCCATGGTGCTGGAGATGGAAGACCGAACACTTTACCACCGAGCCCACCTTGTCCAAAGTACAGGACTCACAAGTCTCTTTTGGTTAAGAACATGCTTGTCTTGTGGGTGTAAATTGACAGTGTCCACACAGACAGTAATGAACCTGCCACCAGACCCCTGAATGCCAAATAAGTTTGTTTTTTTTTCCCTGTTATGCATAGATAGCAAAAGTCAGAAATCACCATATTAATGCTTCAGCAACATGCACACACCCAGGGACAGTGGTGACCCACCACTTCACTGAACAACACAAGAGGAGGAGGTGCCAGAAGTGTGTTAGAAGAAAGACCTGTCAAAGGTGGAACTAGGCTCAGCACTGCAAAGGGTAGTACAAACCAGCCATGGCCAATGTGAGAGCCGTCTAAGAACTCCTGAAACACCTGACGGTCAGCATCGGATCAAAGGATTGTGCCTGTGAGACTTGGTGAGAATACTCCAATCCAGAGCAAAGAATCC